TTTCTGCTACATAAAGGCAACGTCCCAGATGGCGATACTACGACGGAGGGGGCTCTCTGCCCACTGCATTCCTCTTTCCTCACTTTGGGTGGAATTTTAGCATCCCAACGTACTCCCAACCAGAAGCCTCATCACTGCTCTGTCTCTCTGCGCTGCACGACTTTTCTTTAGAACAAGACACAGAAAAGAAGATTGCATTTTTTCTTACCTTTTTCTGTCTTCATTCTTTCATACCCACTGAGTCATTTCTTTACATACCCCATTCTGTTTCTTCACCTTTACTCTGTTTTTTCTTGGTGTTTTGGGTTTTGTTGGAGGAATTTGAGAGGAGGGGAAATGGGGTTTGTGGGGAAGTGTGGGAAGATCCAATGGAGGAGCTTGTTTTGGAGAGTGAAGGCTGCAGTGAAGAAGGCTGTGAAGAAGAGTGGAGGGAGAAAGCAGTTGAAGTTTCAGTATGATCCTTCCAGTTATGCTCTGAATTTTGATGATGGTTGTTGCCATATGGGTGTTGGAGGGGGAAATGGAAGTCCAATCAAACATGGTGGTGGATTTTTGGATTGTTCTGCAGATCTTAGCAAGAGCACTACTGCTACTACTACTACCATCTGTGTTTATGTTCTTTGTTCTGAAGAGGGTGGATCAAGTCATCAAGGTAGCTCCTTTCTGGTTCTGGTTTTCACTCGGTAGACATGGTAGTTTGGGAAGTGAGGAGAGCAAGAATTTCTCTCCTAGATAATTTTTCATTTTCAATGTTTTGATGTTATTTTCTGTGTTTAATTTTGAAAATTTCTACTACTGTAAATACTGTCTTCAACTTTCCATAATTAGAAAAGAGCTGTCTTTTAATCTTTCAGTAGAGCTAGATTTGCACCACAGGTACACAACAGTAAATTGAATATTTACTTCGTCTCCCATGCAGAAATACTGTAACAACATAAGGGACCTTGAGTAATTAATTGCTAAGTTGGGACATAATCAATGAAGGGAGTTGCAGTACACATAACAATAAATGCACAGATTTTACTTCTCTCAGCCTTTTTTTTTTTTTTTTTTTTGGTTTTTCTGTTGTCAATTGAATTTCCAACAGCATAAACAGAAATAATTATACAATAGCTTGAGGCCACTCGAATTCTTCTAAGAAGAAACTAAAACCAACCAAATGCTGCTAAATTCTATGAACAAAATGTGACAGGAATCAAATCTTAACAAATGACATCCAACGAATTCCTAGCTAAAGTCACCGTGATAAGAGCACACATGCACGATCAATCCATCCCATTTGGCTCTCTGTTCAATGTCAGGAACCTGATTTCTCCACAGGATGTAACTTTCATATTGCAGGATCTTCAAGGGTGGCATTAGACAAATCATTTATGCGAGGATAAGCAGCTTTTTCATCGAGTTGATTCTGAGCCCATATCAGCATCTTTAGCAAGCTTGGAAGCTTTGGGTCTGCTTTCCGGTAAAACATTCAGAAAAGGTCAGTTAATTCTTGGAGATGGAATGAAAGAATGGTCACAAGTATCAAATAAAATCGTCAAAACCTTCAAAATTGACAAAAGAAAAACCAACAAATTGGTGTGATGTAATGAGGCAATCATAGCAGAACCTTGTGTGTTTTTTTGGTTGATTAATGAGGTATTCTGGGTATTCCAGAAGGGAGTAAGTGGGTATAGGTGCAATTGAAAAGGTATTAGGGAACTAGCAGTGAGCTGAATGCCTTCAAACTGTACGTTCAACCCAATAATGTATATAAAACCAACAACACAAAAGAAAGACAAACCTTTTTCATGACTCTGGCTCGTAAGAATGGCTGCATTCACCTCACTTGCGGTCTTAAGGCGCTGTGACATGTCTAGAAGCTCTCCAACAGGACAGTTGGAGACATCTTCAAAAGCCAGAAGAGCAACAGTCCTCTCCAACTCTTCTAAAAAGCTTTGCTGCAGCAAACACTTATCTTAGAACAAAGTTTTGGCAGAAAATGCTTTAATGATAGACAACGGTGAAAAAAATTGATTATGCTAAAAAAGCTCATAACAAAGGTATGATGAACTGGTACTTACATTTTCTTCTCCCCTAGGTGCCAGTTCCTCCTGAGCAAACTCCAAGGCTTCTTCTACCTTGCCATTCCGAATTAACTCTATCAACCTCTGTTGTTGCAGATGGAAAAAGAGTTGGGGATTTGTATCCAGTATCTGCACTTGGGAAAAAGATAAATTCAAACACTTGAAATTTGCATCTAAAAACAATGGGTATGAAATATATGTTGCTTATGTCAATGTGGTGATCATCCCATAAAGAATGGAGGATTCCATTGTCCTAAAGCAAAGTGAAATCAAGCATTCGAGCAGCCTAACAATTAACACAATATGCAATCCTGCAATGTGATCAAATATCACACAGTTCACCATTGTCAGAAGTTTTCCATGTAATCAAGTCCATATATTAAGACAACTACAAAAACAAGCACCATGCATGACTCTTCCCAAAACACTATGAAGTTCAAAGTTAATGCCAATAGTGGTGTTTACTGAAGCTAGAAAGTAATGAATATAGTAAAAAGGAACGAATAAATAAACAAACCCTCACCAAAGCATGGTCAGTATAACATCACTTGAATTATCTATTGGATGTAGCACTTTTTATGGTCATTGGATGCAGTACTGGCTGTAATAAAGTATTCTACCTCAGGATTTAAATCATTAACTTTCTCGATTGCATCTTCAACATTTCCACACTGTACAGCATTTTTAACAGCCATGCGGTCAGTGATTGTCGCAAGATCTATATCTGCTATTGTCCACAAGGAAAAACATTTGAAAGAAAACAATATCACAATATCAACAATGTCGAAATAACATTAGACAAGAGATCAAGATGAAACAACATTTCAAAAGGATACGTTCAGTTCCAGATTCCATACGGAATTTTTCAGCAGCCTCAACATAACCCTCAGTGACCAGAAAATTCATCACCAATTTATTCATGTCTTCTTTCCTGATTTGTACATCATTGAGCTTCTTTTCCCACTCTTCCCTTGTAATAACTTTCTTTGACGTAGCCTGCAAATAAATAATCAAAACACACACACGGCCATGCCTGGAGATCTAACTTTTCAAAATAATATCCAAGAGCATCAAGGAAGTGTAAAAATGGATAATTGCTTTGTATGCAAAAGGAGAACCAACTCCTAGATGAACTATTCAGTTGTGAGAAACAGGCAAGGAAGTAAATTGTAAACCTAAGATTTTAACAAGGGAAAAGGCAATAACAATGTTTGAGTCTGATGCTGAATATTATGATTATCCTTCACAGTTCACAATATACAGAACCCTCTATTGTTAACAACACACAAAATGTAGAATGAAATGAAACAACGAACGAACCTAAGTATGCCTAAAAGGATAATCATTTCCCCTCTAAACTAAGTCAAAACTAAAATCTCTAAAACAAATAACATTTCAAGATAAAAACAATTACCATTGCTTCTCCAGTCTCTGCTAGTTGACGAATCACAATCCAGAACATTGACATCAGTGCTCCACCTCAACTCCCATTTGACACCCAATTTAACCTGGACAATTCCTACAAAAAAAACAAATACTAACAAATCAGATTCTCCAAATTTGAAACTCCCACATCCGAAAGATCTGAACTTTCAGTTCAATGGTCACCAAAAGAGAGTCCAAAACCCTAATTTTGATGGGAACTTCATTACCGTACCATAACAGAGCTTGAATTTCTCATTTTCATTGGGTTGAAGAAATTACCTTGGAAAATTAGTGGCAGATTTAGTAACGGAAATCAATGTCGAAACTTCATAGTGGGAATTTTCATGGGGTTATCAAGGAAGTTCCTGCCTGCTCGATCTCTTCCTTCTCTAGAGAAAAGGCAAAACGGCACTCTTAATCCCCGGACTTATCTCAAATTAACATGTCAGCCCCTAAAATAAACACGATACAAATAAGCCCTCAAACCATGCAAATCAATTATCATTAATGACACTTAATAGTGAACGACTTAAATAATTTAGTGGTTGTTTCTTTTTACTAAAAATAAGAGATCTTAAATTTGAGTCACATGATATGTGAATAGAATGAAATAAGGGATGTGAGATAATTGTCTTATATTATGCAACCAAGATAAAATATATATATATATATATATATTAACTCCTAATATATGTGACTTTATCCCACTTTCTTACATGGATACAAATGTGAATCAAAGTATTCTTTAGGTGGTAAAAATCTTGTCAAAATGTCCACATGATTTAAGAACCCTAAGAAAAAAAAAAGAGGGAATATGTAGGCCATTTTGGTAGAATTTTTATTATTCAAAGAGTTCTTTGATTTACATTAACATTTATATGAAATGATAAGACCAGGTAAAGGAAAATAATAGATGGTGTAAGGTCACATGCTTTGGGCCGTTGTTGATGATGATTAATTATTTGCTATCTTTGAAAGGAGTTTAGAGTTTAGAGTTTAGAGCATGTTTGGGTCAGTTGTCAAGTGCTTTAGTTTTTTGATATTGTTTATATTTTATAAGTTTAAATTTCCCTCTTGAAAATTTATATTTTTAAACTTTTTTTAATTTTAAAAAGATCTCAAATAGTAAAAACTTAAAAGTTTAAAATCTAAATTTTTCATAAAATTTTTTTTACTCATTTTTTCTTATCTTTAAAAGCAACTTTTAAAATTTTCCTTTAATAAAAATTTAAATTTATCACTCATGAATAGTATAAAAAAAGTAAAGACTCTTACAAGTTAACCCAAATATACTAATTTGCAAAGGGTTTAAGGGCTTATGTTGCACTGGTTTTAGTTTAGGGGCTTACATATTAATTTGGGATAAGTTTGAAGGCTTAAGAGGGGTTTTGCCTTAAGGAAATCTTCTTCCTTGACAGTTCTCGGGTTTTTGGTTCTTGGGTATGAAACCGGTTTGGTTGCTGGACCGAAACCTCAGGTGAGAGCCCGATTTCATATTTGGGCCAAATTGATTTCTGAATTCCCCTCTTTTTCCTTTTCTTTTTCGGTTTGGGCCTTTTCAAATCTTCGTGCCGACCAAAAACTCCTAGTATAAGACAAATGCCGGCACCTTCACCACATTGCTTTTATCATTATATGCTTACACGGTAAGTATAACTACTTTTTTAGATTACCTTTCTAAATCCCAACTCTCAACCTAATTTTCATCTCCATATTTATGATTATTATAGTTTTTTGTTTTTAAAAATTAGCATCAATTAAAGATTAAATTTGAAAAAAAAAAACTTAATAGATTTCCCTTCTAAATCCCAATTATTTGATTACTTATCATCATCATTATTTACATTGTAAGTAAATACCTTTTTAGATTACCCTTCAAAATCCCAATTCTCAACCTAATTTTCACCTTCATATTTATTATGACTATTATAGATAGATTTAGTTTAAGAGAAACAAATATCCGTTCCCTTTATTTAGATAAATAAAGAAATTAAAATAAATATCTTCTCTTTCTTCGCTTCTAATTTATTTGGTAACTAGTTAGAGAAATTCTCTCTTCTCTGCACTCATAAACCAAACATGCACTCATAAACCAAACATATCCTATAGATTTTTGTTTCAAAAAATTTGTATTGATAACAGTCAAATTCTTACAATGTTATTTAGTAGTTTAATTGTTAACATCTAAAAAAAATTTGCCCATCCATGTTAAACAACAATGTTGATAAATTTTGACCAAAAAACAAAAAGTCGTAACTGTCTGCCTAACTTTCCGCAATCCCAAATTTGAAAATACTATAACTTTTATTTTTATTTCAAAAAACAACCATAAGATTCACGTAGAAATCACAGTAAGGCTAAATAGAGTTTCAAAACCTACTCCCACAAAACCTTACTCGTACCACTAAACGAGTCAACAATTCCTACTCTCAATCCATGTCCGGTAAACATCTACCTATGAAAGTATTTTTAAAATGGGATTTTCTAACTTATACAACATTTTTTTGTCATAAAATTTTTACAAAGAAATATAAAAATCAATGCTAATTAATAAAAGTGTCATATAAATAAATTTAATCATAATATTAATAAATTAAAAATTAACTTTTATTTTAAGTACAAATTTACAATAAATTAAAGCACAATTAAATACACCTAATCTTTCAAGTCAACTGATAAATTGTCAGTTTAAGGTGTATTCTTTCTCTTTCATAAAAGCCGTCCTTGACAACTTATTAAAAAAAAAACCACAATTAAATAAAAAAAAAACTACCACAAAAAAGCTGAGTACAAGTAATTAATAAGCGACTTGCTTAGGAATCTAGGTGACAAAATCAATGCGTGATTACACAGTTGTTTAGAATAATTACATTATCCATTGCCCAAACTTTTACAACTAAGTACAAAGCAAACCTGACAGCTCCAAATATAAAATGGATACGACCTAACCTAACATTCAGAGAAAAAGGAAAGAAACTACCTAGAATGACCACCATCGCCTGTCTGTCTGTCTTCCCCTCAATTTCCCTCCCTCCGAACCGAAGAATCAGACCAACTCCCCCAAAAAAACATATAGTACTAGTAAAAAAAAAAAGAATGAAAGGAATAATTTTCGTATTAACTTTTTTTTAATATTTAATGATTATATTAAAATCAAGTTCTATAAAAAGCATTTTTAATATTTATTTTTTCATCACTGAACTCATGATTTTATTTAACTAAAACCAAACTTTTCTTCCTCTGAAAATTTAGGTGTTTGATTCTGAAAAGAATAATAATAAAGCAGAGAAAAAGTCCATAACGCACACGCAGCAGACACCAAAAAAGTTCCAGAACCAATCCTTTTTCTCTAACCCATTCTTCACGATTCACGTTTCTCCTACTCTTTCTATATTTACCCCCCGAATTCCGGACTTTCTCCGAACCTTCTCCCATTCTTCCATCCCACTCTAAATTCTCCGTGCTCACCTCGGCGATGTGATTCTTGTTATTGCCGTCCAGGATTTGGGTTTCGTGTTTGTTTGTGGAAGTGTTCGGTTAGGGTTTCAGAGAACTAGGTTTTAGTTTTTTTTAATTGTTTTTGGTTTTGGTGATGTTGATGATGATGGAAGAGGATGATCATAATTTGCGGTTCCTTGGTTGGGAGTTCGATGGCGCTGACGGTGGCGATGACCATATCGATCTTGGAGAGTTGTGCGACATGCTTGATGAGAAGGCTGATCCTATGCAGGTAGTGTTTTCTGCTCAAAATAGAGTAATTTTAGGGTTTGGAATGTGGATTTCGGTGTTATATCCATGAATTCTTACTGTTATCTGGGCTGGTTCAGTGTTCTGTTGGAATTATGGTGCAGAAATGCTCTAGTTGTTGACTTAATTTGTCTGTGTCTAATTGCAGATTAATCAAGATGAAGATTCATCAGTTAGAAAATCTCCAATCGATGATTCATCTCCTGACTCTTTCCAGTTTAATAGTGGTAATTGAACTTTTCAAACCCATTTTTTTTTTCTTTCTTGAAATATTGATGCCAGTTGCCTCCTTGGGATGCTGATTTAGAGTTCTCTGTAATACTTCTTAGAAATGGCTTTCCATTGATTGTCTTTTTCTTGCTTTGTTCTATAGAGTTTCAGGAGATGGAAGGGGAATTTCATTCAGAAGTTTTAGATGCTAGGCCAACGCCTGTGGGTGGTTCAGTTGATTATCATGAGAAATTGGAAGACTCTGCACAGAATGGGCCTCCTGTTCATAATTCCTCTGTGAGTTTAGATCACTGGCTTCCAGTGAATCAAGGGACTTTCCATGGCATGCCCAGTTATAGAGCATACAGTTTTGCTGAAGGAGATTTCAAGCCCTTCTTGGATCACTCTGGTAATTCTAACTTTGATACCCCGGGGAGTGGAACTGAAAGTCAGTTCTTGCATGTGGCAGAGAATCTTGAATCCAGAGGTACGCCACTGCTTTTGTATGGTTCTGTTGCATGAATGCTCCATTCTGTGCCCAAAATTTATAGTGAATAGCTAATTTATCTTTCTTAAATATTGCAGATGGTTTGGATTCCACTGTAGTGGAGGCTGCAGATGTAAAAGCTGGTACCTTTAGTGTCTTTAATGCCCCAGAAATTTCTGATTATACTGATTCAACTTTTTGTCATGGTTCTGATATTATTGATGGCATTAATGACTCTTACTTGGCCCTTCCTGTTGGGTCTTCACTTGAGGCTCCAATGTTTGATTTGTGTGATGTAAAGGGACGACATTCAGAATGTGAAGGTAGCAATCATGTCTCACTGGTTTCTGGAAATTTCTTTGATGATTATGATAATCTCCTTGTTGATGACAAAGGATTGGTGCAGCCATTTCATCATACCCAGTCCTGCATTTTAAGCAAGAACCATTTGGATGAGGTTGATTGTAGAGAGTCTACTAACAGGACTGGTGATATTTGTTCTGTCAATGGAGATTCAAAGCAATCTTTATTCAGCATTTCACCTTTTATTAATGGCAAGGATGAGAAAAATGATATTTTGTCCGACTCTAAGAGGGTTTATCCTTATCAAGATCCTATTGTTGGGAATTGCAGTAGTCTCTCTTCCAGCAGCGGTGAGTATCTGAATTTAACTTCCTTGGAGATAGGTCTTCCTGGCACTCATACATTGATAAATCAGATGAGCGTGGATCTTGCAAAAATGATTCCTGATAGTCTCTCTTCCAGCTGTGGTGGACCTTTGAATTTAACTACCTTAGAGAAAGGTTTTTCCAGCACTTGTAGATTTACTTCTAGTGAGATGATGCAGTTAGGTTACATTAATGAGGGAAAGGAGAGTAAATTGATGAATCAGGTGGTCATGGATCCTTCAAAAGTGAGTCCAGAATCAATTCATAGCAGTTTATCAGATTGCAGATCCCATGAAGATGATGGCCCTGATTTATATATTCTTGAAGACTTCAGTCAACCTGCCTCCTCAAATCAATCTACATTGCCTGGAAAAAAGCGCACTACTTTGCAACATTCTGTAAGTTCTGGGCCAAAGGCAATTTTTAGGTGTGCAATTCAGGTTAGTGCTTCTGTTTATTATTTTATTGTTCCTTCTTTTGGCAATTATGGATTGGAAACATAATGTCATTATACATGTGCTCTTTTTCACCTTAGTTTTTTCTGTTTTGAATTCATACTCCATGGTGCTGTAACGTAGTTAAACTGGATGCTGTTGGGTTGATGTATTGATCTGAGTTTTTTAGAATTGGAATACAGGTGTAAATCAGTAAATGTGAACTTGATTTGTAGTTGGTTTTTGATTTTCCTTGGACATTTTTGTGAATTTAGCAATTGATCTTGCTGTAGCAAATAGCCTGAAACAGGTCTTTTTTAAAAATGTTTAATAAGTGGTGCTTTACAATATGCACATGTGAACTTAATTGCGTGGTATACTCTACAGCCAGGCTTGTTTCCAAAATTGCAACCTGTTCATAAAGACCTTAAAGTTAATACCGCCTTTACTGTTGCCTCTTGGAATATTGAATTTGCACTGGAAGTTTTATCTAGTTTTCCTGTATTGACTTTGATGCTTAGTATTAGAGCTTTGTTGCCAACAATTCCACTTGTAGTGTTTATGGATGTAACTTTCTTGAAATTAAGAATCTGGCTTGTTGATGGCTTAACATTCTTGCATCACAGGACCTTTCTCAACCAAAGTCAGAAGCTAGTCCACCAGATGGTGTACTGGCAGTACCTCTCCTGAGACATCAGGTTGGCTATTCTATCCATTTAATTTATTCTTTTTTTGGCATTTCATTTTCAGAAAGTTGAGTTTCTGCAAAGTTCTGTGTTTGGGAGTTGGGGCAATGAAAATGATAGCCACAAGTGGTGAAGAAGCTGCTTCTAGAGATATTGTTTGATTCTGTTGGTGTAGAATGTTTGATTTGGTTTCCACTGTTTGCACAAAATGTGCATTATTGCACTTCAAGTACAAATAACGTTGATAAAATTTTGACATCTGGTCAAATTCAATAAATTTTCTGGAGTATTAGTGTGGTTGTCACACCCTTGCCCTCAGATTTCGTGACATTACATTTTGAACTTCTTTCAATCTTCTTAATTATTTACAGTTGTTTTGAAAGGCAAGAAACCCTTTATTTTTTGCAATAGGTATAGACTTGCTTCCTGAGCAGTGCATGTTGCTTATGAAGGGTGAACTGCCTGTGGAAAACTTATATTATACAAGTTGTTATCATACAAGTGATTGCAAAACTTATCTTTACGGGTTGGGGTTGGGTGATATTGACCTTTCCATGTCTGGTCTGGTCTCTTGGTACTTACTGACCTACCTTAATTCTGGGGTTAACTTCAGGGGTTCTAACCTCTAAAATAGCTTGGGACTAACTGTTTGCCAATAATAAAAATCATTATGCCATTGTTTTTTAAACAGTGAAAGTGGTTTTACACGCCATTTTATGTGTTTGTGTTGTGTTGTGGTGAGCCGTCTGTATGTATTTTTCTGTGTCTCTGGGTTTAATTATAATTAATCTGTGACTTATGTCCTGGACAGCGTATTGCTTTGTCATGGATGATCCAGAAGGAGACAGCTAACGGGCTCTGTTCAGGAGGAATTCTTGCAGACGATCAGGCAAGTTTTGTATATTACTAGGCATATGGTAGTACAACATTAGAACAATGTCTTTTATGATGTTCTGTTGCAGGATTGGGAAAAATGGACATTGTTTTTAATGATATTCTTTTGCAGGGATTGGGAAAAACCATTTCAACTATTGCACTAATTCTTAAGGAGAGGCCTCCATCCCTCAAAGCATGTCCTGACAATGTCAAAAAGGTTGAGCCAGAAACTGTCAATTTGGTTGATGATGATGAGGCTACAGGTATTGAAGGAATGAACCAAGAATCTGGAAATTGTCATGTGAAATCCAGTGGATGTTTGAGAAGAAGCTCATTACCTTTGGAGGGGCAAGCAAAGGGAAGGCCAGCTGCTGGAACTCTTGTGGTCTGTCCCACAAGTGTACTGCGTCAATGGGCTGATGAGTTGCAAAATAGGGTAACTAACAAAGCTAATCTCTCTGTCCTGGTGTATCATGGGAGCAATCGTACGAAGGATCCTTCTGAGTTGGCCAAGTATGATGTTGTCCTTACAACATATTCAATTGTCAGCATGGAGGTCCCAAAACAGCCTTCTGTTGATGAAGATGATGATGAGAAATGCTATGAAGATGGTGATGGTTTTCCAGCCTCAGTTTTTAAATCAAGCAAAAAAAGGAAGTTCAAACCTACTTATGATAAAAAGGGAACGAAGCATCAGAAACGAGGGGATGGTTCACTGCTTGAATCTGTCTCTGGACCACTTGCAAAAGTTGGATGGTTTAGGGTTATTCTGGATGAGGCACAGAGCATTAAGAATCACAGAACTCAAGTTGCTAGGGCCTGTTGGGGTCTTCGTGCTAAGCGTAGATGGTGTTTGTCAGGGACTCCTATTCAAAATGCAATTGATGACCTTTATAGCTACTTCAGATTTCTCAGATATGACACTTTGTCTGCTTACAAATCATTCCAGGCTGCAATAAAGTCCCCAATTACTAAGAATCCTGCAAGAGGGTATTTGAAGCTACAAACTATCTTAAAGACAATTATGCTGCGTCGAACCAAAGGTGAGAACTATTACAATTTATCATTGATTACATGTTCATCCTTCACTACAGTCCAGTTCAACCTTTAAGGTTCTATTCTAGTGTGTTGCATTTCACTTGTTGCAGAATAGTCTCTGATGATCACTTGTGATTTTTTTTTCCTCTTTTGCTAGGAACTATTCTTGATGGGGAACCAATTATTACTTTGCCTCCCAAAGTGGTAGAACTGAGAAAGGTGGATTTTACAGAGGAAGAACGGGATTTCTACTCCAGATTAGAAATTGCGTCTCGTGCTCAGTTTAAAGTATGGTTTTGACAGATTAATTTCAGATGTTGATTAGTTAGACCTTTTACATTTTTTATCCCTGTAGTTTAAATGGTAAACTTTAAATAGTCTTGTGGTCATATGATTTCTGTGACAATAAATTTTGTTGCTAATTCTTTGAATTTCAAATTTATAATAGGAGTATGCTGCTGCTGGGACAGTCAAACAAAATTACGTTAATATTTTGCTAATGCTTTTGCGCCTTCGCCAAGCTTGCGATCACCCTCTTCTTGTCAAGGGTTTCGATTCAAACTCTTTATCGAGATCCTCAGCTGAAACAGCGAAGAAGCTTCCTCGTGAGAAGCTAACATCTCTTCTCAGTGGTTTAGAAGCGTCTCTGGCACTCTGTGGTATCTGTAATGTATGTGGTTTTCTTTTTCTGTTCTTTCTTTTTTTCTGCCTTGTTTCAATGCATTTTGTTAGCTGCTTATTGTACGTGGGATGCCGTAATAATTACTTCCTTTTTGGCATATTGATCATAGTTTCTGTTCTTTGCTAGTAACATTTGTAGTGTAGATGGATATTATCTGGATTGTTTATGGCGTAGTGTCAGCATTCTGCTCTCTTTTTTATTCCATTTCTTTATGTTAGAGGTCTTATTTTGGACATATTGATGAAGTTCAGTACTCTTTGCCTTTTAATAGTGTTAATAATGTTTGTAAACATCCAATATAAAACCAGATGGTTAGAGGTGTGGTTCACACTACATTTGTGTCCATAGGTTTCCTTTTAATTCACTGATTTGAGAGTTTGCCACTTAACATGTCTCCTTGCTTGTAGGGTTGATTTATAATTGAACTTATAATCTTTTGTTTCTGATCCTTTTTTGGTAATTCTGTAGGATCCACCAGAAGATGCTGTTGTTGCAGTCTGTGGTCATGTTTTCTGCTACCAATGCATCTCTGAGCATCTTACTGGTGATGACAGCCAGTGCCCTACTGTTAAATGCAAAGTTCGGCTTAGCATCGCTACTGTGTTTTCAAAAGCCACATTGAATAGTTCTCTATCTGAGCAGTCTGGGGAGAATAGTTCTGCCTCTGAAGTTGAGTCTTTTAAGCCTTATTTTGATGGTAAGTTGCATGCTTCTTCCAAAATTAAGGCTGCCCTTGAGGTCTTGCAATCATTAACCAAACCACAAGGTCATACATCAAGAATTAGTGGCTGTTTTGAAAACCACTGTCATCTTCAGTCTGGGGATTCACAGGATGGATTGCCTGACAAACAAAATGTAGTTGTGGATAAATCTTCTGATGATCCCAAGATAATTGGAGAGAAAGCGATAGTATTTTCTCAGTGGACAAGGATGTTGGATTTGTTTGAGGCTTGTCTTAAAAGTTCTTCTATTCAATATAGAAGACTTGATGGAACAATGTCAGTTGCTGCCAGAGACAAAGCTGTGAAGGATTTTAACACCCTACCGGAGGTTTGTTGGAATATTAACTTCTGTTTTTATTTATTTATTTTTTTAAACTACTTATGCTATTATTTTGGCAGTGTGGTACTCTGGTGGTGTTTATTGTGATTCCAGTACTTCTTATTAAACCATATCCCTTTACCATGTAGGTGACTGTCATAATTATGTCTCTGAAAGCGGCTAGCCTTGGGCTGAACATGGTTGCAGCTTGTCGTGTTCTTTTGCTGGATCTTTGGTGGAACCCTACAACTGAAGATCAGGCAATTGATAGAGCACATCGTATTGGGCAGACTCGTCCTGTTACTGTTTTAAGGTTAACCGTGAAAGATACAGTTGAGGATCGTATTTTAGCCCTTCAGGTAACCCCTTTTGTTGTTTGTATCTATCAGTTGATTGTTTAACTTTCTTTATTTTGAAAATTCAGAAAAGAAGACATGGATGGTACATGTAGTTTAGATGTTGTGATAAATGGCTTGATATTGTTCATGTTCCTGGCTGTTAATAATTAGCTTTGTAAACTTGATCTGTTAATTCGGTATTAGGGTTGCCTGGTGTGTGTGCTTACTTTGTCAGATAATTTGCCAACTATTATTACTCGGATGTATTGTCTGGTTCAAGTGGTGACTGAACTAGTAGCTTGATTTTACCGCTGTTATTTATTCTTTATGCATTCTAATCAACATTGTTATTTAGAGTGAAGCGTCATTGCACCAACGATTTTTCGTATTTAATCAATGGTGTGAGGCCAGATTAAATTTGTTTATGTAGGATAGGTTAGACAATTTGAATAATCTAGAGCCTTTTGTTTCCACAGCATTACTCTTGAACAAACCCAAGTTTATTGGATTATTGGTTTGAGTGAATATCTTAAGTGTATTGGTTTCTTCATACCAACCTAATATTCTATGTTTTATTTGTTAACGAGCATGCCCTTGTGTGTTCTATTCTGAATTTCCCCTACATTTTGTTTGCAGCAAAAGAAGAGAAAGATGGTTGCTTCTGCATTTGGAGAGGATGAAACTGGTGGTCGTCAGACTCGCCTCACTGTGGAAGACTTGGAGGACTTGTTTATGGCATAAAATATCCATTCATAAACCGGTGGTAATCAGATTCATCTCCTGCTATCTTTGGCATATCTTTGGGGATGAGAGGCAATGCGAACCCAAATTTTTTTCTCTTCAGATTATTCCTTCTCCAGTTCCTCCCATCTGGGCAATAAGTAGAGGTTCAGTCAACAACATTTCACTAATAAAAAATAACCATGTATAGGTTCATTTCATTCTCACATTACTGAAACCCTGTGGTTTGGGAAACAAGGCTTTTTCGAATTTTGACATTATGTTAATAGTCAAGAAAGAACTTGCACCATCACTTTTTACTTCACAGAAAAATATCAGAAATTTTGTTCGTCACACAATTCATGTTGTATACGATTGGGGGAAGGTAGTTTATAGGAAGTAAACAGGTTAGGTGGAAATTCATTTTACCAAAGTTGTATATGATAAGATGTCCTTACGGGGTTTTTCTCCCCTAGTACTAGTTTAATAGAGATTCTCATTGTAGCTTGCTAGTGTGATATACATTGTTCTTTTTTGTCCTCTCGGACCAGTATTGCATTGTTTACCTTCAAGATTACTTGTATGTGTATTTTTCTCTTTTTTAAAATTTTATTCGTAACATCCATCTGTTCTGTGTGATCACCTTTCTCTTCTACAGTTCTACTAGCGGTGTAAAAGTGGAAAAAAGAAAAGAAAATGAATTTGATATGCTCTCACGTGTCATTAAAATAATTAAGTTTTTTAATTTATGTAAAATTTGTAATATTGAATGCATTTATTTATTTAATAATATGTGAAAGTTGTATAAAAATATGATAAAAAAATTATTCATATAACACTATTAAAAAAAAAAAAAAATTGCGAGCCAATTCGTAGGTTCTGTTTGGAAATATCAGAGAAGATTAATCTTTACTTCTACATTCTAGAATAATAAAAATTATTTATTTAGAATTATTTTAGAATAATAAATATTTTTTTATATTTTAAGAGAAAAAAAATATTTTTTTAATTTTAACTTTATAATTATTTCTCAATGTTAATTATTTATTTTTTAATTATTTTTTTCTTTTTATTCATTTTGAAGTATAAAATAAATAAACATATAATTTATTTCTTAATTTTTAATTTAAAAATAAAATAAAAAATATCTATTATTATAGGGTAAAGTAATAT